GACAGCATTTTGATGTGCCCTTTTCAGAAATCTGCTACAGCCTGAATTGTATTTAGTGGGAAGAAAGCATTTTCAGTTCAAATAATTTAAGCAATTATTGTGAAGAAAGGAACTTTCAGAGCCAGTTCAAATCTTCCCATAAAAGAAACTTTGTGAGTAGCAGATGCAGGTCTACTCTAATTAGACAGGAAGATGCAATTGTCCCCAGCAGGAAATCTTGGTGAGAACCCAAAGGAAAATTTGTGCTGAGCTTAGAAATGACTTTTCCTCCTTCAGGTAGCAATATATAGTCAGTGTAAATTTGACCTATCAGATTTTAATACTAATGTTACTACTACTACTACTACTACTACTAATAATAATAATAATAATAATAATAATAATAATAACAACAACAACATTGGCACTGACAAATTCGCCATTAGTCAATTGCAAAAGGCGGCCTTACTAGCAACTGCTTCCATCCTGCGACCATATCTGTAAAACCATTAAACTTCCACATCTGCCTATCTCAGGTCCTTGGGAAGGACTCGATAGGTAGCAAAAAATGCTAAATCCAGTCTGAACATCTGGCTGACTGTGCGATTAATTTTATATATATATATATATATATATATATATATATATATATATATATATATATATATATATATATGTAGGTCTTTGTTCGGGTTTTCTCCCGCGTAAAATTGGAATTGTCTTGGCGACGTTTCGACGAAGTCCCATTCGTCATCTTCAGGCTGGTGTTTTCAGCTTCGTGCTCAAAGCACGAAGCTGAAAACACGAGCCTGAAGATGACGAATGGGACTTCATCGAAACGTCGCCAAGACACTTCCAATTTTACGCGGGAGAAAACCCGAACAACCAAAGACCTACATACAAATACCCGCGGAAACCTCAGAAAACATATATATATATATATATATATATATATATATATATATATATATATATATAGTGAAGAAATAAAATGAACACCAGGGTAATAAAAACTATAAAAGTTTTTAATTAATTAAAACTATAAAAGTTTAATTAAAAGCGCCAAGCTTTCGCCGTCACCTGCTGGCATCTTCAGGGCTAGCGCGCCAGAGAATGAGGAAGTCCTTTATAGGCGTGTCAAGGTTTGCGCCCGGCTCCTTGATCTTGTTATTGGGCCTGATTGATTCAATTGCGTACGGTTAACCTGTTTTTCCTTTCTGGTTACATTTCTATCTTCATCCATCCTTATTTCTCTCAACCTTGGGGTGGTTGGATGGCAACTCCGGTTGTTTCGGGTGTCTTTGCATTCTGACCTCCCCCCAGGTTCAGGTGGTAGTGCACATTCCACATTCCTTTCACAGCCATGTCCTACCCAATTGTTCCTTTTAGAGTAACTTTCCTTTTTAGTCCCAATACTTTCATTTTTAGTGCGCCCATCATCCGATGGTCTTGCGAGCTGTTACGAGTCAAATACGGCGTGGCGGGGTGTTCAGCAGAGTGGAGGGGTCGTTTCCTGGTCATCGCCATACCCAGCTGTCCTACGCGCGTCCTGCTTCGGGTACTCTGTCCGGGGTGTGTGTGTGTGGTAGTTGAATCACGCTCCTTCTGGCTGTCATAACGTTCCTCTTCAGCTCTCCCCCTTTCTGCACTGTTGGTGTTCGTGTGCATTCCATGGGAGTCCTCGGGATCGTTGGGTAGGGGGCGTGACGACTCAATCCCTCGCACTCCACCGCTCTCTGATCTTCTCCCCTCCTCCCTGGCGGTGCTCGGGGGTTCGTCGTTGGCCATGTCCCGTGATCTATCCCCCCTGGATCCGATCGCTCTGGCTGCGCGAGGGGGTCTTCTCCTCCCTTCCGGACCGGCCACGATGTTTCTTTTAGCGCGTAGGCGAGCTGTTGCGTTTGGCGATTCCCCCGCGTCTCCACCTGCCATATCCTCCTTCGTCTTATTCTCACTATCAGAACTCCAGATCTCAGTTTCCACCACCCCCCTAGTCCTCTGGGATTGCGGTAGCCTCACTGGGGTGGTCGGGGTGTCCCGTAGTTGCCCTTCCTCCTCCGGATTGCACCAGGTCTGTTGGGCAGTTTGCCCTTCCTCTTTGGTATCACCGGGATTATTATTAAGCCATCGGGGGTGTTGCCGCTGATTATTAATGCTCCATGATCTTAAAGCCACGTATGCCGGGAATAGGTCGACATGTCTATTAATAGATCTATTATCTGAGAGCCATGCCTCCCTAAGTAGGCGGCCCCCTTTGGTATTATCATTCGCCAATACGCTGATGCCACTAAAATTAAACCTATGACCCAGATCTACCGTGTGTGCCCATATCTGGGAGTAACAATCTCCCCTTCTCACTGCCAATCTGTGTTCGTGGACCCTGGTCTTAATCCGTTTAGCAGTCTCCCCAACGTAATTGCACTGGCAGTCCATGCAATCAATCCTATAAACGGCTGCCGATCTTTCAGTGTTGGGGAGCGGGTCCTTGGGGCGCATTATAGCCGCCCGCAGTGTTTGGTTTGGTCTATGGGCCACCTGTATGTTATACGGTGCCAGGATCCTCGCTGTGGCTTCTGATACATTATGAATATAGGGGAGGGTGATACGTGTGGTTGCCTGAGGTATGGATTCTTGGGATGTAAGGTTACCCCGGGGTCCAGGTGGTTTACTGAACTGATTGATAAGTTTTACCGGGTAACCATTACGTCTACACATTTGGAAGAGGTGGTTTCTCTCTTCCTTCTTGGCTCTGACGGTGCTGCAGTGTGTCTCCACCCGTTTAAATAATGTCCTGACACAGCTGACTTTATGGGCCATCGGATGATTACTCCCAAAGTGGAGAATCCTGTCCGTGCATGTTGGTTTTCGGTACACCCTGGTGGCCAGACATCCATCCACCTGGCGCTGCACTAATACATCCAGGAATGCCAAACTGCCCTGATCTTCCTCTTCCATAGTAAATTGGATGTCTGGGTATACCGAATTCAAAATGCCCATAAAGTCAGTCTTGTGTCGCTTCTTGATGACCGCAAACGTATCGTCCACGTAGCGGGCCCAGAATTTTGGTTGATACCGGGCCATCGCTATGTGTTCCAACTGTTGGAGTACTATCTCTGCAACCACACTGGAGATCGGCGACCCCATTGGTGTTCCTTTAATTTGTTCATATATAGTACCCTGGAAGGTGAAATAGGTGTTGAGGCATACTCCCATCAACTTTACAAGATCTTCCTACAATTGGGTAGGACATGGCTGTGAAAGGAATGTGGAATGTGCACTACCACCTGAACCTGGGGGGAGGTCAGAATGCAAAGACAACCGAAACAACCAGAGTTGCCATCCAACCACCCCAAGGTTGACAGAAATAAGGATGGATGAAGATAGAAATGTAACCAAAAAGAGAAAGGAAAAACAGGTTAACCGTACGCAATTGAATCAATCAGGCCCAATAACAAGATCAAGGAGCCGGGCGCAAACCTTGACACGCCTATAAAGGACTTCCTCATTCTCTGGCGCGCTAGCCCTGAAGATGCCGGCAGGTGACGGCGAAAGCTTGGTGCTTTTAATTAAACTTTTATAGTTTTAATTAATTAAAAACTTTTATAGTTTTTATTACCCTGGTGTTCATTTTATTTCTTCACTATGTATACCCCCAGGGTTCATATTTTTAACCTTTTTAATCATATATATATATATATATATATATATATATATATATATATATATATATATATATCTTTAATGAAATAGCCACAATTTATATCAACATTTTAAAGGGTCTATCAACAGCTGTTGATAATTCATCAAATAAAATTAAAAAATGTACACACTACAAGGTAAAAATGCACATATCTTCTACTCTCATGCTTTTCAAATTAAGTTTGCCTATACATAAACCAACAAAAGCAAATGTGTTCATTTTTGATGCTATTTCAATGCCAAAATTATTTGTTTGTTTTAATCTTTGCACCAGATTTAAATGTGCCAATTTTGAGCACCAAAAGGACTTTTTCAGGGGCATGCATTAATTCTTTACTTCTCTGTTGATAATGCCAGAGAAAGTGTTTTCTTTAGAAAGAGAGAGAGGATTCATTATTTCTTTCTGCCTAAATGAAGTTTGCATAAAATAGCAATACAGTTCTTTGCATATTTAACCTAGAATAAAATTGAGAATTGCTTCCAGTTAAACACACACAGAACTATGCTATTTGTAAAGGAGGAATAGAATGATCATATTCAAATATTTATAAGGATATTACAGCAGAAAAATGTCTCTATCTCTCTCATATAATACATGTGCATGCATGCCCATATGCACATTGCCTTATATGCAATTTCTCAGTAAGAGATGGACTTTTAAAATTTATTTTTATTTATTTATTTAAATGCATTGGCTCCCCAACTCTAGTAGACCCTGGATGTATTTAAGCATGTGTGTGTGTTTGTGAAATATAATAAATAAAAGACAACTTGCACCACATTTCATTGTTCCTTTTTTGATCACCTTTTTTACCACACTGTTACATTTTCCAGGCTATTCTCCTTTCTTTCATTTCAGTTATGTTTTAGCTGAATATAATGAAGCACTGTCTTATAATCTTGTCGAGATTTATTTAATAGCTAGCAAGATTCTCTATGACCTCATTAAGTACAGTTTGACTTCATTAAACTTCCTTCAAGTTTAATAATAACAATAATCGTTAATCCTCTTGTTTATATATTTCTAGTTATATTTATGGTGGTCTTTTCATTGAGGCCTTTGTGTTAAGGGGTAGGAAAGTTTCATTCATGGTGGCTGTGTTCAATTTACCTTTTATTCCATTTTGTTTTAATTATTTTATCTTATTTTATTCCCATGGGTCCTGGAAACAAAGATTTCTATTTCCAAACTGAAGACATTTGTAACTAAAGCAGCCTATCCATCCAGGACAATCAATAGATAAGAAAGGCAAGCATTCAAATGTCTCCAATTTTGTACCATTTTCATTAATCTCATGTTTTCTTCCTGTTCTCCTATTTAGGGTGACATTCAAAGATCAATAATCCATGTGGATTTTGGAGATGGTAGTGCTGTGTCATATGCCAATCTGAGCTCAACAGAAGATGGAATCAGGCACATCTATCAGAATGTTGGCATCTTCCGTGTAACTGCGCAGATCAAAAACAGCCTGGGGACTGACAGTGCAGTCCTGTATTTGCATGTAAATTGTATGTAATTACTGTTGGTATAAAAATACTTTAAAGATAAATTGATGTCAACCAAATTAATTTGTTCTGCTTTTGATAAAAACTGTTGATGGTACAGGTGTTTCATTTTATTTTATACAAAGGTATTTTGGAGATGAACCAAGAATTAGAAAAGTGGGTGGAAAGGGCAAAGAACCAGAAAATAAACAGGAATTGCTTTAGAATATGATTTACAATGCTCTGCTTTAGTGATTCATGTATCATCAGAAGTATGATTTTTCATAAATTTGTATCATGCTTGAGGCCCTGTGTTATAAACCAGGGTCAGTGGAACGGAATAGGAAGTCACTTGGCCAATGCATCAAGTTCCTTCTAATTTTTAAGGGCTCTCCATCCCCTGACCTTACCTTCCCACAGACACAATAGCTGAATAGTTGTAGAGAGTGGGATTTGGGTACAATATGTAATATGAGATAGAGGACAAGAGAAAAAAGATGAATCAGTGGAGTGCTATGAAAACTTTACATAGGGGGAAATGGGAATCATGCTGTACTATATTATGAACACATTAAAAATCTACAAGATTAAACATGAATTCAATGAAACTGTCTTAGGTTTATATCACTGAAATCCTCTTACATATGTGAGGAAAAAGGGGACGCGTTATTGTATACATAATTTTTTCCCTATTAAAAATTAATTGGTGATATGAAAAGGAACTAATAAGCCAAGAAATGTTGAGCAGAACCCATTGTTCTGGAATATCCTAGATCTACTTTATTTTCTCTTGTTCTGTGTTTTGATATTAAAAGATCTGGGCTTAGGAATTGTTTCAGATAAGTAAGATGCAGACACTTGTTATTGAATTTCTTTTCTTTTTGACCTGACAAGGAAATTTGTCCTACAGACCCTATGATGTTCTCACCAAGTCCATGTGATTGCAATAATATTGTATTTATCTATAGAATTTATATACTTTTTTTTAGTATTGCACTGCCAAAAACATGTGCAGCTAAACAATTATTTAAACTAATTATACTGTTTTGGGTGCACCCTGCCTTTTGGAACATCATATACCTCAAAATGAGATCTACATTGCTTCCTCCCCCCCAACCTTCCATAAGGGTCTAAAAACCTTCCAACAGGTCTGGAGACCCAATGGGTGGGTATCACTCTGGAGGTTGTTAGTAGATTGAGAGAAGATCCCACATCCCCTCCCATAGTTTTCATGCCTCTTTCTCCCCTCTCTTTTAACCTTTTAGTTATAAATGTTTAATATAACTATGATTGCTGTTATTGCTGCTTTATCTTTTTAATATTTTTGGTTTTAATGTTTGTAAGTCACCCAAAGTTGCCTCTGGACGAGATAAATCCAATAAATAAATAAATAAATAAATTTAATATTTAAACAAGAATTCCAATCAGTATTTAAACAGCATATTCTTCATTTCCATTTTATGTATAAACTAGTTGAATACTCAAATTTATTGTAAGTAGAGAGAGAGAATAACATCCCAAATAACCTAACCCACAGTAACACAGACTGTTACTGCCGTTGTTTGCTAAGAAAAGTTTTGTCATCCTGTTCCACTTTATATGCAAGTTAACAAGGCTACTTGAAGGAAAACCTTTTTGTTTATGCAGGCCATGACTTGAAGCAGAAATGTCATTGTCTGTATCATTCCCATCTTGTAACAGGATTGCAGCCATGTAATTGCACCATATAATTTATTACATTCCTTGTCAGATCTTAAACTGCAAAGGATGTGATGTTCTCTTCAATGTTTCAAGGATTAAATTCATAAACTTTTTGTGTAGCTGTAAAGTTCTTAAGCTGCATATAGAAATGCAGCTACAGCTGCTAGAGTTTTTATTCTGGGATGGGAACCAAAGTGAGTTTATTCTCTATTTTTACACAGAGAAGCTAACACTATTTTTGTATGATAGTATAATATATCATCATGCAGTGAAATCAAACTAAAACTAAAATTAAAATTGTTACAGTCTAATAAGATGTTGGTGATTTTATACAATTTCAGATAAAGATTGAAATTTCATGTGAGGATGCTAGAATTCTGTGAGATTTCAATATTCTTGCCTTGTATCTTAGGAGAACTCATTTAAGAGCACTGAAATGTTAAAAGCTTTTTCAGTTTCATGTGATTTGGCCCATTTAAATTATTTCATATGTATTGTTATTCATCCTGAATCAATTCACCACAGAACGAAGTCTTATTCACTTACAGACCTAAAAGGCTGATCTGCACAATAGAGAGATTTGTCTTGATTTCAATTCTCCTTCTTGTTCCAAAGTCATTCTGCCAAAGTACTGGAACCTGGGTTTCCTGACTGTTGCATATTCTCCAAGTTTTGCTTCACAATCTAGTACCATGGGCAAAGTATCTCTTTTTCATTGTGCCAGATTGTCTTTGTGGCGGTTAACATGCATATTAATAAATTATGGTATTTCTTGTTTATATGTTCTGGAGTAATTCCTAATAAACCTACATGAGGTTTCAGTTCAAAGTTTATATTTAGCTTTTTTTTTGCTTGTTTATTTGTTTAATGTTATATATTTATTTCCAATACTTATGAGGTATTTTATTTTACATAACCATTGCATGTAATACAAAGTTGCTTCTTTATACTGACATTTACCCCTTTTTTGTTATATGCTTTATCTATTTAATTATTGATGGAGCTATTACCATAAGTAAAGCATTTTATACCAATTTTCCTCATAGGTATTGTTGATAATTTTGTTTTCTTTATTATTTTCTATATAATTCCTCTCATGAAGAATTATTGTGCTTTTTAAGATTTTTTATCTACTTTATCATATTTTTTTACTTGTTCTTTCCCCATGTCATATTTTAATGACAGATTAAATGCCTAATCTAACTCTTTAATACTTATATTCCACTGACTCCCTCATGTGTGTTGCTTGTTTTGAAGGACAGAAAGAAAATTCAAATGATGGAGAATACAAATCCATCACACTACCAGTCTTTGCTTTAAAGTTATTACAACAGTGAAACATCCATTTTAAAAAGCAACTAATGAAAGGTTAATGACATATGAAATAGAATAACAATTTCAAAAGAATTATTGTGGTGTGCAATGCTATACAACTGTGGGAATCTATAATACAGTATATGAGTATACAGGGATGCTTCAACTAATCGCACCAATGTTTTCTCTTGTGACAGCTGAAGTATTTTCATTTCACCTAATATTTTTTAAAGGGAAATATACCTTTCTTCTACATAACCACTGTTTTCATACGTTTCAATGGGATAGCTAGAACAATGGTTTTTAAATTATTTGATTCAATTCCCTCCAAAATCCTACTTGCTTTATACAAAGTGCATTTGTGACAGCAACACCTAAACTGCATCTTTGCCTCACAAATAAGCAGTTATCTGCACAATTGGTATCTGCACAATCCCTTAATAACCTCCAGTTTAGAACATAGATTCTCCAGCATATATGCTTTGTGGAATTAATTAATCCTTGTGAATGCAAACATTTTTAATTCAAAGAGTACAAAAAATTTTCCAACTCTTGTTAGATACTATGTCATGTAAATAGTAGTACAACACCATCTGCTGTTCCAAAACTGCATTTTTAAATCTGTGTTTTTATCTTAATTGTAATAATTAGAACTACCTGCTTCAGTGATTTTTCTCCTAAATCAATATCAAAAACAGCAGATCTTTCAATGAACAACATATGCATTATTCTTCAGATGAGGCTTTTGAATCAGCACTTGAATGTACAGCCTGCATTGATTTTTATAAGTTATCACACCAGAGAAATACAGTATAGATATACATGTGTCATGTTCTCATATATGGTGAGGCTTTACATGACTTCCTATCCATCTTGGAGGGAAAAGAGAGGAAATTTCTCTACTTTTATACACTGAAGATCCTGTGTGATGTTTTTATGCACACTGACAGCTAGGAAACAGAATGTGACCAGTTTCATTCTGTTTGGGACATATCCTTCCTATGTATATACACAGCATTCTATGGGATTACAACCCTTTACTGGAAAAAGATTTCAAACTTTGGAAGTTTGCATTACAAGTTATACGCTGCCTTATTTGAATGTGAGCAAGATGATGCATTAAAATCACGAAACATATTAAGTCGTATTATTTCTATCAATATTACTCTGAAGTAGTATTTAGAGACAAGGATTTGCAGGATTTGCTTACAGGCCTTTGAAACAATTCTTTCATTATTCTAATTCTTTCTACAATGGGAACATTATTCACTTCAAACAGAATAGCTATCATATATCTGAAATGATATATGATAGCTATTCTGGTAGTCATAAGCTTGGGTTCTTTTAGAATTTAGAGTTTATCTTCTCCTTCTCCTTTCCCTTTCCCTTTCCTTCCATAGCCTGTAGTGAGTCTGCTCTAATCACATGCAAGTTGCAACAGTACTGAAATTAGATTGTAAATGAAGTAGCCTACAGTCCTACTGAAACTGCAGAACATAAAACTTAAAATCTGTACATGTTTTTATGAACATATTTTTCTTATTTCTTCTTCATTTCTAGGTCCTTTAGAGCATGTCCATTTGTCACTTCCATTTGTAACAACAAAGAACAAAGAAGTTAATGCCACAGCAATATTATGGCCCAGTCAAGTTGGAACTCTAACCTATATTTGGTGGTTTGGAAACAACACTGAGGTCCGTATTTCATGCAGTGAAATCAAAGGCTAATTAATGGGGGAGAATTAACTCAAGAAACAGCTTACAGATTACTTGAGTAATACAAAAGATTCTGTTTTTTCCCATCATGCAAAATATAGCTTAAAAATAATATAATTGTTCAGCTTCATATTCATTTATATGTATGTCTGTTATTCTAGGGTTTGAAAGTATACCATTTTCTATTTTTATACTCAGGGTTGTCTATCACACAGAAAAAGATAGGTTTTTGACTGAATGTCTGTAGTTACCATCTTTACTTTAAAAAAAAAAAACTTCCCACATCCTGGACACCACTGTTTATGCTATTTCATTAATGGAATATTTTAAATCCCTCAAATGAATTTCTGTCATATTAAACCACTGTTTATCAACCATGGCAATTTCCCCAATGCGTAGACTTCATATTCCAGATTTCTACAGCCAACATGATCATTAACAAGAATTCTCAGAGTTGAATACACATATACCTGGAAGTATCAAGGCTGGGAAGCACTGCATTAAAGTGATATATTTGCATTATTAATCACTCACCTAAATGATGCATAGCCTATGTATAATATTTAATTTTCTACCTATCACTGATTGCTTCTTTTTAACTAAGCAATGGGTTATGATTTGTTGTACTGCTAAATTTAAAAGTAATTAGAAAGTGGACTTTAACCACTATAGAAGTTATATTAAGGATGTTTCATTGAGATCACATGAAGTTAAACATTTATTGTTTACTGAATGGTCGAAACAACAACGACAAGGTTATCTGATAATATGAAATACATACAACGATGATAGACTTGCACTTCATGAAGGTATCAGGGTCCTGTTACATAATTCAACGAGGCAGTATTGTTTCCTGGTTAGTCCCATTTTCATTCCTCAAAGCTTGATTTAAACTGTTTTGAGATAGATTCTTGATGAAGATAACTCAACAATATTGAAACCTTTAGATACTTAAAAATTCTTCAACTTTACGGATGTGTAATATGATGATTTGCCATAATGTTCAGGGCAAAATTCTGAATTCAGGGTATTCCCTTTTTAAAAAAAAACATTATTTATTCTTTTACCACCCCAAAAATATTCAAAACAAAGGAAAGGGGAAAAAAGAAAAAAATAGACTAACAAACATGGCACCCATGTCATTGGATCTGATTTTACTACTGTTTTTATTGTGGTTGTAATGTAAATCATGCAGTCCTAGGTCTGAATCCTTTTTCCTGGATTTGCACTTTTCTTGGAAAATCCAGTGGAAACTGGCAAAAAAAATATAACACAAATTGCAGTCACATGACCATATGTGGATGCTGCAATCTCCTGTAAATGTGAGTGGATTGCCAATCACCTGAAATGCAGTCATGTGACCATTGGGGTGGACTGCATGACATTTTATAATGGTCAGAAGTGCTTTGTGTCTCATAAAACATCCTTTCTGAAGCCATCATAATTCTAAATGGTCATTAAATGATGAGTCATAAGTGAAAAACTACATGTATAAGAGGTGACTACTTCTTCCACAATACTCAGGTGGAATGAGGCTCTTCTTTTTCTATAATTGTTCATACGTTCTATCATTATTCTAGAAAACAACAGGGTTGCCTTCATTGGTAATTTATTCACCCACTAGATAACATTGTGAGAGCATAGATATGGTACAAGTTATTATTGATTTATTTCTGGATATGACACAACAACATTCTTAGGACCAAGAATTCTCTGTGAAAAAATCTTTACTTTATTGTTGTTGTTATGTGGTTCTTTGGTTCTTCATTTTTTCCTCACTTTTTTATTTCTTTTTTTAGTAACCTGATGTTTTCTCTGTCTAAACTTTATGATCTTTCTTTCTTTCTTTCATTCATTCTTTCTTTCTTTCTTTCTTTCTTTCTTTCTTCTTTCTTTTTTTTTGAAATCTGCAGAGATATATTTTTCATGCTTGTGCAAAGGATATTGCTATGTAACAATTAAATATATAACACCACTCTAATGCAGGGAAACTTCACTATTTTATCACCATTGATCTAGCCCAGACTGAAAGGTTAGAAGGGTCTTCATTTAATGAGTCAATTTTTTAGGGGCCTTATTAACAATTTTATAGGGGAAAAAATATATACCTTCCATATTAACAACTTTCTTATTTTGAATTGGTCAGATGCACAAAAACAATACATGAGTTTAACTGTGTCAGGTTTTGTTCATTTCGGATTCATTGAAATATACAAATTGTATGAGAATATTCAAATTCACATGCTATTGTATATTAAAAATTGGAAGAATTAGAAAGGGAAAAATATCAATCTTACCTAATCTATCCATACCTACATATTGTACACTTTCAAGATTTGTTCATTATATTAAGCCTAAAATTTGATTTATTTGGATCATCTTGGTTTATTTTGTAATCACGAAGCCCAATTTTGTGGCTTAGTTTTTATATAAACCAAGATAAGCATTTGCTTATTATCACCCCCCTTTAGTATTTTTTTTTATTAAAAGTTTTTAAAATTTTACAATAAAAACCCCTTCCCGAATCCCTCCCAACCCTCCCCAAAACCCTACCCCATTCTTCCCAGAGCTGAATACAGGCTTAACTAGAACATAAAAGAAAAAAAAAAATTTAAACCCAAATAAACCTTAAACCAATATCATTACACTCAATAAACAGATTATAACATACTTTAACTCCATTATATATAAAAAACAGAAAGGAAAATAAAAAAATAAAAAGAAATAAAGAATTAAAAATAATAATGATTACACTTCTAAATAAATATCTTAAACTTTAAATATAACTTATTCAAAAGCTAGATGGTATTTTTTTATATCATACTTATATTGTATAAAATTTATCCATCTTTTCCACACCAAGAGATACTTCTCTTGCGATTGATCTTTCAAGAAAGCCGAAATTTTTGCCATTTCCGCTAAGTAAGAAACTTTAAAAAACCATTCTTGCAGAGTAGGCAAAGATTCCTTCTTCCAATATTGCCCTATTAACAACCTAGCCGCAGTAATTAAATTTAACATTAAAATGATCTCTTTGTCATCACAATCCGAAACAATACCCAGCAAAAACAATTGTGGAGTAAATTTTATCCTTCTTTTAAAAATTCTTTGAATATTCCACCATATCTTAATCCAAAAAGCTTTTATACTTTTACATGACCACCAAATATGATAATAAGTGGCATCCAAACAACCGCATCTCCAACATCTAGGCTGCAGGTTTGAATACATATGAGACATTTTTTGTGGATCAAGGTGCCATCTATAAAACATTTTATAAAAATTTTCCCGTAAATTTTGGGCTTGTGTAAATTTAACATTCCTCACACAAATAATCTCCCAAGTGTCTAATAGAATCGGTTCATCAAAATTTTGTGCCCACTTAACCATACAGTCTTTAACTCTGCTTCTGAATCCAATTCCACTAGCACACCATAAATTCTTTTAATATGAGTTCGACTTTGATCTCTAATTTGTTTTAACAAATTCTCATCCTCTCTAAACAAGCCCACCTTATAATCTATCTTCCATCTTTCCGATAGTTGTCTATACTGAAACCAAGAATAGATGATATTTTCTTGTACCATAGATTTTAATTGCCAATTTTTACCATCCCACTTAAGTAATTGAGTATAAGAAATGGTATCCATCTTAACTCCTCTCCTTATTCCTTCTATTGCATGCCATGGAATATCCCATAATGGAATTCTTGAATCACTTCTGTAATATTTCTTCCAAACCCGAAGTAAAGAAAATCTTAAAATATGAGATTTAAAAACCCTATCGACCATTTTATTATAAATTAAATAGGTATGCCATCCAAACAGTAAATCCCATCCTTCCAAAAGGAATATATCTGCATTTGTTAAATTAACCCAATCACTAATTAATGTCAAAACCACGGCATCATAGTACAATTTCAGATTCGGTACCTTGAGTCCACCTCTCTCTCGTATATCTTGTATAATTTTAAGTTTTACTTTTGGTTTTTTCCCTGCCCAGATAAATTTATTAATACCTTTCTGCCACTCATCTAAATTTGCTTCTTTCTTTAAAATAGGTATCATTTGAAATAAGAAAAGAAATTTTGGCAAAACATTCATTTTAATCGCTGCTATTCTCCCCAAGAGGGACAATTGCAGCTTTTTCCAATTATTCAAATCCTTTTGTATTTTAACCCACAACATTTCATAATTGTTTTTATCCAGTTTTGCATTAGAAGCTGATAAAATAACCCCAAAATATTTTACCTTATTGACAACCTCAAAACCTGTCGATCTAACCAGTCTCCTTATCCAAATTGGTCATATTCTTAGGCAATATTTTAGTCTTATTATTATTAATTTTAAAACCTGAAACTTGTCCGTATTGATTTATCAGTTGTAACAACTCCATTACAGAATAAGTTGGTTGAGATAATGTAACAACTAAATCATCTGCAAAAGCCCTTAATTTAAATTCTTTTTTATTAATTTCTATTCCTTTTATCTTCGATGATTCCCAAATTTTAATCAATAAAATTTCCAAGGTTAACACAAACAGCAATGGGGACAATGGACAACCCTGTCTGGTCCCCTTTTCAATTGGAAATACCTCTGATAAGCCTCCATTAACTATAAGTTGTGCCATTTGTTTTTGATAAATGGCTCGAAGGGCCTGTAAAATTTTATCTCCAAAATTCATTTCCTCAACCAGTCTTAGCATAAATTGCCAATTTAATTGATCAAAAGCTTTTTCAGCATCTAAAAATATCAATCCTGCAGAAATTTGATTATTCTTATCCAGATATTCTATTAAATTAATAATTTGTCTAACATTATTTTTCATATACCTTCCAGTTATAAAACCAGTTTGGTCCATATGTATTAATTGGTTCAACACAATCATAAATCTATTAGCTAAAATTTTCGAAAAAAATCTTATAATCCACATTCAAGAGAGATATAGGTCTATAATTCTTTGGTAACGTAAGATCTTGGTCTTCTTTTGGAATCAAAGATATAAAAGCTCTGCCCCAAGACAAGGGGGTCTCTAAACCCTGTAATATATTATTAAAAAGTTCCCTTAAAGGTTCTATCAACTCATCTATCAAAGTCTTATAATAAATTGATGTCAGTCCATCAGTGCCAGGTGCTTTACCTAACTTTAATTCTTTAATTGCTGTCACAATTTCCTCTGTAGTAATTAATCCATTAATTTCTTGTTTCTGATCTTCTGTTAGTTTAGGAAAATGAGCATCTTGTAAATATTTATCTATATCTAAAGCCTGTACTTTCCTGCCCATATATATTTTTTTATAATAATCTAAAAAAGATTTCTTAATCAATTCCTTCTGAAATACCAATTTACCTTTATAATTTATTTTATCTACAATTCTCAACTTCTGTTTCTTTCACAATGGATAGGCCAGCCATCTCCCTGGCTTGTTAGCATTACAAAATGTGTTATGTTTCATGTACAATAAGTTAGTTGCAGTCTGATCTGCCATTAACATATTAAATTGCGATTTAAGCAATTTTATAGATTCCTTAGTCTTCTCATCTATAGGATTCGAAATTAAAACTTTTTCTTTTAATTTAATCTCATCTTCCAACTCCTTACGTTTCTGCACCTGTTTCTGTCTATGAATCTTATTCATTTGCATCAAAACCCCATGCATATAAGCTTTACCTGCATCCCATACCATTGACATTGAAGTACCCTTATGCATATTTAAAACAAAATATTCCTTTAAATGCTCTTTAAGTTTCTGAACATTCATTTCTTGCCTAAACAAATTTTCATTCAACCTCCAAGATCTTCTCTCCTCCTTTTCAGTAACCAGTTCCATCCATACTGGACTATGATCTGTCAATGTCCTTGGAAATATCTTTACATTCTTTACCCTAAAATATAAATCCGTTGTAATAAAAAAAAAGTCAATTCTTGAAAAAGATTGATGTCTATCCAAAAAGAAAGTGAAGTCTCTCTCTTCCAGATTTGTTCTCACCAATAATCTCGCAACTCCCAATCCTCTTTCAAGTCAAAAAAAGCCTTAGGTAATTTAGCCTGTTTAAAAGAAGTAGAAAGTCCTTTTTTGTCTCTAGATGTATCTAAAACTCCATTCCAATCTCCCATCAATATAACAGATCTATAATCCAATAAAATCAATTTTTGATGTAACAACCTATAAAATTGTTCCTGTTGTTGATTTGGTGCATACAAACCTACTATAAGTATTTTCTTACCATACAGTCCAACTTCAATCATAACATATCTCCCTTGAGGATCAGAATCTACTAAACAAGCTGATAAATTTTGCTTAACATAAATAACTACACCCCCTTTTTTCCCAGGAGCAAAAGATACAAAATGAGATCCCAATCGAGCATTAACTAAATATTTTTGATCCTTAGAGATAATATGCGTTTCCTGCAAACAAATAATATCATTATTATGCTGCTTCAAATAGTGAAATATTTTCTTTCTCTTTTGAGGGGAATTAAGGCCATTAGCATTCCATGTCAGGAGCTTTACCAACTCACTCATCCAAAAGCCTAGAGAAGACTGCTTGAAGATCTGCCATTGAAGATTGTACTGAAGATCTCTTAGGTCTTGCTCCTTCCACAGGCTCAGAAACAAATTCTTGTAAAACTTCTTTGACATCTTTCTTCTGTTGTTCCTTTTCCTTACGTCTATGCGCTGCCCGAGTCATTCTTTGCTCTTTCATCTCAACTTGTTGAAACTACTCTGCCTGTGATTTTCCAGCTTTCATCAACACAGCTTCTTCAGACTGCTGGTCAACCTCCTTCCCATCCAAAACTTTAAGCATTATAGGTGGTGATGAGCGTGCTCCCAGGACCGAAGTATAAAACTCCTTTGCTTTAAAAACAGTATTAAGTCTATAACGTGTCCACGCATGGCTCACCACTATTCCAATCGGAATATCCCATCTGAATGGCATTTGCCTTTTTTTAAGTTCCTCTGCCAGAAAAGCAAACTCTTTTCTTCTTCTTAAAATTTTAGATGGAATCTCCTTTAAAATTATAACATCTTGTGCAGCAATCTGGAACCTCTTGTTATAAAAAGCTTGTATAATTTCATTGCACAGAGATCTTTTTCCAAAGTAAATTACTACATCTCTTAGCAGATTTCTTTGCTTTGCAACCCAGGAGTTGACTCTAAATATTTTTTCAATTTCTCTAGATATTTCCTCTTTTTCTCTGTTCAAAATCACAGCAAAATCATTTACTACAATCTCTCTCAGGTCTTGTTGCATATCCTCTCTCAGACCTCTGATTCTTAAAGCAAACTCCATCTCACTATATTGGGACATAACAATTTCATCTTGTGAAATTTCCACCTTTTTTTCCATTCCTTCAAACTTTTCCTCCAAAACCTCTATCTTGTCTGCAACTTCTTCAACTCGAGAATCCAATTTTTCAACCACAGAAGCAAGTCCCTTTAAAGCCAAAACTATATCTTGCCTCAAAATGCTATTATTCTCCACTAAAAGCTCTTTCATTTCACCTCTAATTTGAGATATAGCATTTCCCATTATATCTTGCATATCTTTTACCGTTATTGGTTGCAGGGGAGGAGAAGATGGTGGTATGAGTTTAGGTTGTTGTGCTGGTAATATCGCAGGAGAAGAAGCCACCTTAGGTACTGTAGAAGTTGCTTGATGCTTTGAAGCCATTTTCAAAAATTTTATTTCTTCTTTCCTCCTTCTTAAAAAAAATACAAAATATACAAGAAAAATCCCTTAAAAAAGTTAAAAAAAAGGTTAAACAGAGAGGGAAAATAGTCCTCTTAAAACCCAAATCCACCTTCAAAAAATCAATGTAAGTAATCAAATCCGTTCCATTCCGTTCCAGTCACTTAAAAAAAAAAAACCTGCCGATCGCCATTTTACTTTCCCTTTCAGCAAAAGAAAAAAAAAAGGGAATAAAAATAAATCTTTAAACTGAAAGCCCAAATAAAATAAAAAAATAAAAATAAAATCCTCTATTCAGCTCTGTCCGCTTTTAAGATAACTCACCAAATCACTTTATTCGCAGAGGTGGGAGCAGCGTCTTGCTTTGTCCCTAGAGACAAAGACAGCTGAGAAGCGGAGACAATCTGAACTCCATGGGAGCACTCTTTTCACCCCCCAAAAAAATTCTTTGGGGGATTTCAGAGGCTCTACCACTATTCAGATGATACTCCCCTCCCTCCCTTTGCCCGGGAAGGAGGTTTTGAACCGCAGAACAGCTGATGCCTGCTGTTCTTAGCGGTTCTAACACTTTCTCAGGAGGACGGCTACAAAGTAGCCGCCATCGCCAGCGCAAAACCACCGGAAGTCCTCCCTCCCCTTTAGTATCTTATGAAAACTTATCCATCGTTTTCTGGAGATGTAGGTACTTTTATGAAGCTATTCTAAATGATAGGTTTCATAGTTTATGGAATCTTTCATAATTTATGCTTTTTCATACAATTGAAAAATGTGAGAAAAATAAATCAGTGGCAGTAGCTTCCTAATGATTCTTTGGACATCTTTAATCCCAGTTTGTTTTTAGCAACATGCTTGTCTTGGCTTTTAATTACTACATTAATTAAATTTTCTTGTTTCCTTCTGATGTCTTTGCAGCCACTAATTACTCTAGAAGGGACCATCACATTTACCTTCTCTATGGAAGGTATGAACATAATCACAGTACAAGTTTCTGCAGGAAACACAATTCTGCAAGACACCAAGATGATTGCAGTATATGGTGAGCCTTGTTTTTGTTCACTCTTTGTTGATTTATTCCTTAGGTTTCCATGGCCAGTTCCCCTTTGCTGGGTTCTTGGGTTGAAAAAGAAGAAGAAGATAAGGATAAGAGTATACAAGGCAACTATATGACAATCAGATTAATCAAGAGCTTTGAAGTTGAACTTATATTTATTATCTTTTATAAGATCAAGGATCTATTTATCCATAACAAAGTGCATTCTTTGTACTTCATAATAGATTTACACCAAGAGAAATTCTTACTTTTCAGCAATTCAACACCTGGGTCATATCTTGAAACAGAGATAAACACATGATTTCGACTGAGAGCTGCACTTCGAATTTTTATAATTTTCCCTCAGTGAACATTTTTGTTGATACAGTGATATCACCAGGAAAAAATAAGATTTAAGGGACAAAGAAGCAAATTAGGGTTATGGTTAGGGTTAAGGATAGGGATAGGGATGAGAATAGGGATAAGGATGAGGATAGGGTTAGCATTAGCGACAGGTTAAGCAACTGGATTATCTAATAGAACCAGGAAGCGTCCTGATGTAAATTATCCTCTAGAAGAACAAATGTTATCTTGACGGAATGTGCATGTCTCAATATGATTGTAAGAGTTTCAAATTAATTTTTTCCTCTACATGCTATAGATAGCTATAGATAAAAGTCCTCTACTTGCTCCAAAATCTTCTCCCAAATGGAAATTTTGGAGACTAAGCTATATTTGTATAAACAGCTGGAATGAAAGATGGCCTCTGCACATCTTTGCAATATATATATTTCTTTCTTTCACAACACTGGCCTTCCTACAAATTTCAAATACTGAGCATATTACGTCTCATAAATCCCCACTCAGTTTCCTCATTCTTTACAGCACTACTTAAAGTAATTGCCATGCTGCTTGTCGTATTTTGAGGGGTGTTTTCAAGTGTTTCATTTGAATCCTTTCAAAATACAAACGACCTAATTGCTATAGAGGTTGTATTTGGAGGAATACTGAAGAAAACACACAGACACATATCAAACTACCATATGTGTTTGAAGAAAGGCAAATGAAGACTATGTCTAGATTCTTGTTTTAAGTCTCTTTTTAGTAACTTGGTTCACAGAGCACTAACACTTAATCAGCTGATTACCAATGAGGCTTCAGATTTATCTTCATTTAGAATTTGTTCTGGGTCAGTGCAAAATTGAAATTGATTTAATCAGTATGATTTATATAGAAGACACTTTAAAATCAGTGCATAAATCATTGGTTGTTATGTTTGCAGACTTTTTAAATGCCTTAACTCTCTAAAATGGGCACATAATACAATTACAGCATTACAGTCTATTAAATGCAGTGGAAAGATGAACATTTAGGAGCTTTTTCTACAGCTATTTTCTCCTCTCTTTCTTCTTCAGTTGTGATTATCTGGAGCACTGCAATATAGGAGTCCTTAACTTACAACAGTTCACTTAGTGACTGTTCAATGTTACAACAGTACTGAAAAAAGTGACTTATGACTGTATCTCACACTTATGACCGTTGCAGCATCCCCATGGTCACTTGATCAAAATTCATATACTTGGCAACTGATTCATATTATGAAGGTCGCAGTATCCTGGGGCCATATGATCATCATTTGTGACCTTCTGATAAGCAAAGTCAATGGGGAAGCCAGATTCACTTAACAATTACTAACTTAACAACTGCAGTGATTCACTTAACAATTGTGGCAAGAAAAATCATAAAAATTTGGTGCAATATTCACTTAACAACTGTCTCACTTAGAAACAGAAATTTTGGGCTCAATTATGGTCGTACGTCAAGGACTACCTGTACTTTACAAAGATACCTTTGATATCTTTCAATGTATAATCCTTTAAAATCTTTCAAATGACCTTTTTTACATCAGGCGCTTGTAGTTGAACTACAAAGTAACTAATTGAGAAATAATTACAAGAACCATATTGCATCCTAAGGATCATGCAAAAAGCCCTTTAGTTGGTGATTTAGGCATAAGCTAAATTAGCTATATTACAGGACACAGGTGTCAAACTCGATCATGTCATGTGATGTATTATGACGTTTTATGATGTTTTTTGCCTTTGCGGAGCTGGGGTGGGCGTGGCCTGAACATGACACATCTGGCCTGCAGGCCGCCAGTTTGACAGCCCTGGTACAGGGTCTCACAATCTGCAGGGCCTCACAATAGTTTAGAATATCAGTTTTCTTATAATGAAAACAAGTTCATTTTTCCTTATGTTAATAAAAGTGACTGATTAGTTATTTTGTCAGCATTGTTTGTCTGTATATTAAAAATATGTTTAAATTACACTTAAACAGACGACATCATTATTTATGAGAGAGATCCAGCCAGGCAAATGATCAATATGTAATCAGTAAATGCATTCATTTGAAAATAATTTGTATTTTTCACTTTAAATACTTTGCTATTAAATAATTAAAAGGCAAAATGTATGTTTTCACTTTATTTGTGGTGATCCAAGATCCTCTTTTAGTATGCATATTTGTGAGATCTTGTGTAACTTTTTTAACAAGGGGCCTATAAGTTTTACATAGCTTAGGACCTCAAAAGGTCTAAATTCATCAGTGATAGATACTTTGGAGGGGGTTTATTAGTTAGAATTTAAAATATTAGTCTGTTTCTCTTTGCCTAAATGTATGCTATTTTAATGTGAGCACCATTTAATAATTGTGATTCTCTGTTTTTTTCTTTCCATTTCACTCTTTTCCTCTCCTTTCCTTCTAGAGCATTTTCAGTCTTTACGGCTTTCGTTTTCTCCAAATCTGGATGAATACAATCCAGATATTCCTGAATGGAGACGGGATATTGGTTATGTCATTAAGATAGTTCTAGTTGAGGTAAAAAAAAGTTGCATATTTTATTGATATGTTTTGTTACCTTCCACTAATTTCTTTGAAAGGAGCATTTAGAAGATTCTGAATCCAATTTAAGACACAAAAATGATTTATAGGAATATTCCTTCCATTTATCAGATTAATATAAACAATTTTCATCCATTTAATTTCAGATTTTTTTAAAAAAATCAAAGTCTATATTCACATATATACATACAATTTTAAATACATATATATATATATATATATATATATACATACACACACACACACACACACACACAGAGTCACAGATGCTTGGTCTCACGTCATTGTAATTGTGTTCTTTTGCAGCATGCTAAAAATGGAGTTGTATTTCTTTTCTTTACTAACTGGGGAAGAGAGTTTTAAATATATAGTTCAGTATCTTTATCTTGTATTCTCATCTCTGCATGCTGTTTAAATCTAACATTTTGTCCATATGGGTCATTGCAGTCTGTCCTGTGTCTGTGTTAGATGATCATGTAATTCATTAATAACTCTTCATCCTACTTTCTCAATGTTATGGTGCAGAATAATACAGATCAAGGGATACTGGGACCATTGTGCTAAATGCACTTGCAGAATTAATCCATGATTCTGTATTACTAATTATCTATGAAGGTCTGGAATTGATAGAACAATTCAAGAACGTGATGAAGTATAGATTAGAATATTTTCACTGTAAATAGTTTTCAAGTATTGAGGTATGGAAACAAATTTTCTTGCCAGGATGCAAGGAATATTTCTGTACAAAATTTGAATACCATAGTTAAGACATAAAGAATGGCTAAAAATAGGCTACCATATTAGACTCACCATGATTTAAACCTGAGCAGAATGAGCTGTTATGAACAATGAGAATATGAAGGCCAAAAGTAACATAGGGAAGCTATAATAAGACCACATAAAATATACATTAAACTATGTTTACCATAGGGAGAATACCCTTTTCTTAAACTGGACTCATCAATAGAAGGGATCCATTTCAGACTTTCTTGAATTCTAGGCTGATGAGTTCCAATAGTTTCCAACCTGAAAATACACCGGGGGAGTGGAAGTGACATCATTTATGATATGTTTGATGTAAATTAGATATTGTCATCATACCTTATAGCAGATAAGGCAGGGGTGTCAAACTCGCAACATCACTGACGTGTCGTGATATGTCACTGACGTGTCGTGACATATCATGACTTTTTTCCATTGCCAGCAATGGGGTGCGTGTAGTTTCAGCATGACGCATGCAGCCCGCAGGCCGGCAGTTTGACATCCCTGAGATAAGGTATATTTACAGCTTTTATGGCTCCCCCTCCCAAAAAAGTACATTCAAGAGGTACTAGCTTTAATTATAAAATATTTATTCATTCATTCATTTTATATAGTTTCCTTTTTGATATGTGATTCTGAGAGATGTACAAAATTTAAAAAAGTGAGTTTTAAAGGATTTTAATATAATTAACCATTTTTAGCAGAGGTAGTTAAATCAACTAGAAACAATAAAAATGGTCATGATAGTCTTAAAAATCATCCTGACTAAAATGTTGGGGGAGAAGCCAGGTTTTTAGAGCCTGTCAGTAGATAAGCAGGGTCAGGACATCCAGATTTTGGTGGGAATGTAGAGTAGGTGTGTAGCAGAGATGTCTTGCTGTGTATCATATGACATTGTTTAAAATGATGCCAAGCCTATCAGATATTATTGAATAGCAAAGATAATTGTAAACAGACAGTCCCATATAACCAGCCCCTGGGCATTCCTATATGCATATATATTTCTATACAGAATGTCCTAGAGGTTCTATTTTTAATTTATGTTATTATAACTATCTCAATGGCCATGTTTCTGTAAATACAGAGAGAACCCCTGATTAAGTTAGTCTGATATATTATGTGTGGTAGAGCTCCCACTGTTCTTTTCTACATCCAGTGCAATCAGACCTTGAGCTGTGCAAGATCTAAACAAGGTTGTTATATGACTTTTCACCTCTATTTATCAAATTTTTAACATTTTTTTCTTCCAAATTCTTCCAGATTTGAACTTCAGAATTAATTGGTTTGTGTGTAGCAATTCTTGTTGGGTTGTTTTGGGTCTAATATTGTTTTTTATTATTTCTATATTGATTTTGTAAATACCACAATGTGTGATACAATCTTTATTCATGTCATTCATGTTCATTAATTAATTTTCTTTGCAGATAGCTTTAAACTGTATATTTTAAGTCCCCAAAACCAGCAATCACATTTACCACTGTCTAAGATTCTCTGCTGAGAAATGCCTATAGGAAGGGGAATATAATGCTTATCAAAAACCGGAAAATGGATTTTCTTGGCGGAAGATGTAGATTTGAATGCAATTGTATTTTATGATGAGACTGTGAGCACAAGAAGCAACCCCCCCCCCCAAAAAACCCCCAAGCAATTCTAGGTTTAAAGGTGGTGTGCATTTTTATTTATTATATATATATTAATAAAGAATATTAAATGTTGAATGCTCCAACACTGGAAGTTTTTAAGAAGAGACTGGACAGCCATTTGTCTAAAATAGTATAGGGTTTCCTGCCTGAGCAGGGGGTTGGACTAGATGACCTCCAAGGTCCCTTCCAACTTTATTATTATTATTATTATAAACGTTGGAATAAATAGAATGATAGGATATAAGTTAAATAAATAAAATTATTTGTATTAATAATGTCATTAAAGTTAGAAAAAATATATATTAGAAGACAACCAGTTCAAGTATATTTTAGCTACAGAGACAAAATTTTGGATGTCTAATATATTGTTACTTTTATTAGGCAACAAGCATTTCCAGTGAACAAATTTTGGTAGCAATCCTGCCAGGGTTACCCACCTCAGCTGAACTCTTTATTTTGCCCTATAAGAATATCAATGGAGAAAGTCAAGAAACAGCTGAAGATCTGCAACAGGTATCTGGTTCTTTTAGGTTACATAATATTGTTGAACTACTAAGAAATTTGCATTAAGCATTTGTGGAAAGTGGAGATCACATACATCTCACATTAATATTAATTTATAGTCATTTTTATTTTTACTTGCATTATTCTTGATTTTACAACCTTTCATTTTTCTCTAAATTGTTCCTTCAGTCATTGAATAAGAACATATTAACAAATTTAAAGGAGGCACACACAAAAAAAGGCTTGGGATTTCATAGTCTTAATAACCCAGGTTTTTTTATAATTATTTTTTTATTTTATTGAAAAGTTTTATACAAATTTTCCATTTTATTACAATACAATATCCCTCCCCCCTCCCCCCCACCCTAACCCTAACCCTCCCTCACTTCCCAGAGCTGATTACAGGGTTACAAATAAGCAAACAAATTCTAACTAAGCTTATCCAACTATACCAATAACCAAATCCCTAAATACTTTAACTCAAATACAAGAAAATTTCAAAGAAAAACAAAAATAACAATATAAACAATTCGCACTTTAAACTATAAGCTATTCAAAAACTAAATGATACTTTCTAATCCCATATTTATTCTGTACATAATTTATCCATCTCCACACCAAGATGTATCTTTCTTGTGAATGATCCTTCAAATAAGCAGAAATTTTGGCCATTTCTGCTAAATTAGAAACTTTAAGCGACCATTCTTCTATAGTGGGCAAAGAATCTTTCCTCCAATATTGCCCAACCAGTAACCTTGCAGCCGTAATAAGATTCAACATTAAAATAGTTTCTTTAACATCACAATCTGCAATAATACCTAACAAAAATAATTGTGGTGAAAACTTTTATCTTTTTCTTGAAAATCTTTTGAATGTTCCACCAAATCTTAATCCAAAAAGCTTTTATGTTTCTACACGTCCACCAAATTTGGTCAATAGCAACTCATGTCTTCATCACCTTAAGACTGGATTACAGCAACATTCAGTTCTTAGGGTTGCCTTGGAAGACCACATTAGCTTAGGGGTGTCAAACTCGCCACGTCACATGACATGTCACAACATATCACAACCTTTTTTGCATTGCTGGAGCTGGGGAAGGCGTGGCCTCTATATGATGCAACCGGCCCATGGGCTGGCAGTTTGACACCCCTGCATTAGCTAGTATAGAATGAAGTTATCTGCTTGCTGTAAAATGATAGTCCCTTTAGAGGGTTACTCTTATGCTTGGGACACTTCAATTTTAATCAAAAGTGTTCAGTTGGTTTTAACCTGTTAACCATGGTTTGGATCCAAGTTTTTTTATCTAGATATAATCAAGCTTAGAATCTATAACTTAAATAATGGGAGTTTATTCTAAAGCATCTATCTTTATTTTGGGGGGGGGAACGAAATCAAATACAGTTGAAATTTTAGATTTCGGTATAACAATTTCTATTGCAGCACTATTTCTAATAAAACAGGATGAATAGAAGATTTTGGCTTCAGAAGAATTATACACACACATAAATATATTTTTGATTGAGGATTTCTGGAACGTGATGAGAGATGTAAAAGTAGACTTCACATTTTATGATAGAATATCTCCAATCCACAGACAGAAGGGAAAAAAAAGGAAATGAACTGAAACATTTTGTTTTATATTCTAAAGAAGTCTAACTGAGAAAGGCTTTACTGACTCTTTATTGCCTTAGAAGTCCTAAGGACACACAATGACTTGTTCTTCCCAGTTTCTGATAATTTATATATAGTTTTGGTAGAAAGGGATGTGTTAATTTCTTCTCTTGTAAGTCTGTAAGTCTGCAAAGTCCTAATATTAAATTTCTCATTAATGAAAATATATTTTCATTTGAGTAATGAATCAATTTATTACATTCATGCTTAATCAGCTGGCCAGTTTTACTTTCATTGACTTTTAATTCTAATAATGATAAATTAATTGTTTAAAATCCTTCTAAGTAACATTATATTTTGTTGGATGCCAGCTCTAATATCTTAACAAAATTTGGGTAATTGTCCTGCAATTATGCATATATGCAAAGGCCTAACACCAAGAACTAGTAGTTCCTTTAAAGACTGGTATTCCTTTATAGAACAGATATTTGATTTTGGATGTTCTGGGAAAGTCCCACTATGAGTCAACTGACTAAAATTATTTTTTTCTAAAATTTTGGGCCCTCATAATTTCTAACACACAAATATTACATTCAGGCCAAATCCAGAGGAGTTCAGTCTTTTCCTTAAATCGCTCTAGTTTTTTATGCCTGTGGTTGAAGTTTCTGCTCAGATCAGTACATTCAGAACAGTACATATTAAAAATATTAGAACACCTCCAGTGATTTTAGTCATTCTTTATCCCATATGAGTTTCTTATGGGACATTAACCATATAGATAACCTTTTACCCTGAAAGGTATAGTATTTAATCATTTTTAAACTAAATAATAACAGCAGAAATATATGTCACTGGAAATGGTAATAATACAATTTTTCAACTGAAATAAGATTATCTGTATTTAGACCTTCTTAATTAAGCTGTAAATTTAAGAGTGCCAGCATTGGCACAAGCTGAAAGCTTTAAAGTTTCTATGTTTATGATGAGCTTATAAAATTTGTAACTCATGAACCTGAACAAATTTTAGTTCAAGCCTTTTTAGTTTTCCTACAAGAATATGTCCAGCACTGTTTTATTGTTAATATGTTTTGTGTTTCGGGATTTGAGGCATTGAAGCACGACACATCATAAACCAAGTTTCTTTATTTCACCTTAATTCCACTCCAAGCAAACTGCAAAATGGGCACGCAGGCCTTTTATAGTTTTCCAACCCCCAGGAAGTCCAGCCAATAGGAATCCTTCTTTTTTGTGCCTTGCACATGCGCAGTAGTCCGGCGCCAACCAGTCTGGTCCTGGGCAGCTTTTAGATTGCCTGGAACCATTTGCAACATTTCTGGGCCTGCTAAGTTTCCTCATCAGGCCCAGGACATAACAATATGCATTTTATATTTAACAAAGTTGTTTTTGTTGTCAGTTCAAGACTGATAGACAATCTTTAGCTGGGTTGATTGAGTGATTGTGTACCATTGGTAACCTAGTGATCAAATAGATAGATTTCTCCATGATTATCTGTCCCTAACCTAGTCCTTCAGGTCTTCCAATAGTGCACCCATAACTTTGCTGCTGATTAACCTCTTCTTCTCTTTCTTTCCATATTTCTCAGCTTCTCCAGACAGCTAGATGTATAAGTCTCCAAAATGCCATAATTTAAGTCTGGTCATTTGTGTCATGAGTGAGAAGTCTGGATTAATTTATCCAATAATCCATTTGTTTGTGTTTTTAGCAGATGTAATAATATATAGGAAAAACCTTGGGAGATGGACAAAGCTACTTAGAGAACCATTAGGCAAGAGACATCATAGTCCCCAACCTCATAATGGTTGCTACATAGTGGGAATTTTACTTTCAGACTTTCAAGATTGATGTCAGCCTTACGAGTATGTCATCTCTCCCAGGTAAATCATACTGGAAACAGAACTAGATTAATTTATTTTATTTTATTTTAAGCCTATTTTAATAGAATCTTGCAAGTTTGAAAGTACAGACTTCCTGCTGCCAGTTTTAAGTGCGTGATCTATTTGGGTGGATCCGGTCTTAATTTTTTTTTTTCTGACTGTTCAGCCACTGATAGCTCCTGTCTCTCTTGTCTGATTTATCTGTTTCTAGGCAGCATCTCTTCTCCTTGTTCCCCAAGGTCATCCCCACATTCCATTACACAGATAGTCCAGACAGGAAACATGACCAGATAAAGTAATTCTATTTTAATGTAAAGCTATATTAACAGAAACTTACAGGTCTGAAAATTCTCCCACTGTCATCTTTACAGCTTGAGAATGTAGGGAGGATAAGTTCTGAACCTCTTGCTCCACGCATTATGCTATGCTGTCTTTTGCCTGACAATTCCCAAAGCAGCATCTTCTAAGGTCTTTCCCACATACAAATACAACAGTCCATGGTTTTCTCTGGAGTCTTCTCCAATACCAATGTTCAAAAGTGTCAATACTCTTTCTAACCTGTTTCTTCAAAGTTCATCCTCTCATACCTTCACATACCAGCCAAATCCAGAAAGATTCTGTTAAATCAGCCTGAAATCAGTCTAGTTCATTGTGCCTGGTGTTGAAGTTTTTGCTCAGTAGCCAGAGCAATGCATATTAAAACTGTTGCTTGATTTCACATGGTGATTTTATTCCTTCTTTATCCCATATGAGATCCTTATGGTACATTAAACACGAGAATAACTTTTCACCCTGAAAGACATAGTTTTAAACAGGTTTTATTCCTACTGAATTTGTGAATGTGTGCTAATGATATAATAAGCTTCCTACTGAAGCAGCTTTCATCTGACAAAAATGCACTCCTGACTTTATAGTACTTACCTTAATTTATTGTGTAAGCCACAACATTAGTTCACCCATCTTGCTGAATTCTCTAATCCATGATTTACAATGAAAATTCTGTGTTTATTTAATATTTTAAATCAAAGCAGGATTTTGTATGCAAAAGCAGAAGGAATGAAGCCACCCACTTTATTACAACACTCCAGAGACCATTTTGATAAATCCAATAATCATATAAGTAAAATATAATCAGAAAAGTCAAAAATTGTATAAAAGGACTTGAATGAGAGAATGGGAGAAAAATCTGTGTGATATGTGATATCCTATAACAAGAGTTAATTTTTATGAATTTCTGATTTCAACATTTGAACTGCTATAATTAAGCATCACCACACTGCTAATTAAACTGTGCTGGATTTATAAGTGGACATAGCTGTAGGGGTTCTATACACCAAGTAGGGAAAATTAGAAGGCACACCAGCTTTTAAAAAATAAGACCAATATTATGCTACAGTGACTCCACCATGAATGTGTACATAAAGAAATAGGAAGGAGGAGGTGTTCCAAATCTGCATTTTAAACTGTGGTATTATTCTGAATGACACATAAATTAAACAGCTTGAAGTCATACAAATAATATAATTTCAAGAACATCATAGGGATGAGGTCATATACTTTGAACTGGGTACCTTAGTTTGTCAGAGGAGGCTTGGGAACGTTTCTTTAGTATCGGTGTAATTTGAGTCTATAAAGTAAGTGAGGCTGCCTAAGGTGTAGGCTAATCATTCCATGCCAATGTCTTAGGCCTCCGTTTCTTGCATGTTGTTTCATTATCATCCCACTCCATGGATTTTTAAAAATGCATAAAAGTATTAATTTTGGAAGTAGTTTACCTTAAATTATGAGATTTTTATATGTATTTATTCACTTAAAGTTTCCATTTTATTTTCATTTTGCCACTTTTTAAAATCAAGACTTACAACACAATGTATGAAAATGACATCGAAGAACCTAGTCATGTGAGAACCAAGAAAAATGAACTTATCTTATAAAGAAGAATATGAAGAACAGAAGGGTTGCAATAAATTCTTATGTCAGAGTTACAAATTATCCTATCAGAAAGTGTGAAAGTCACTCCTTGTGGCACAAAGGAAAAGGAGCTTTCAGCAAGACACTGGAGGGCAGCATTGTACCTCTCCCAGTTTCTCTCTGCCTGTGAATTCAGGCTCTTGTACATCCACATACAGCCCTAGTTCATTCACTTTATAACCTAATTACAATTAAAATTCATATTGAAACCAATGGCTGAATATAACAAATATTGGCATTTTATTCAGAATTCACAAAACATGAAGTACATTTTTAAAACTTGAGATCTTGACTAAATATATTGTTCATTTTTGAAGATTCTACTCGTCCATGAACATTTACTTCTGTTTATATGAATGTTTATTCAGACACAAAATAGATTGCCTGTATCTGAGTCCAAGCCTCATTGCTTCAGATTGCAGTATAAACAAAAGGCTTTCTCTAATAATACATTCTTTTTGCTATGTATCATATTTTTGATGTATCCTTCTATCATTATTTTATGACTGTATCTGTGATAAGCATCATGCAGTATTTTTCAGTTAACAGTTCAGGGGCACCTTTAACTGAAGTCACAATTAACACTTTTAGGATGGCATGGGTAATAATGAATATAGTGGTGGGCAAAGTCAGAATTTTAGATATTGTTCTTTCTTTTTGAAGAGGGTCGTTCCTTTTTTAAAATGAATTAAATCTATCTGGGGCTTGTGCTACATTTTTTCTATGCATCTTATTCGAGTTGTAGGAAACTGTTGCTATAGTTTTTGAGAAATTATAGTTGACGTGAGGTGCTTAAGGAATATGGTTCACCACATGGTGCTTGGGTCTCAGATTGCCAGCCCCTCTTTTAAACCTGTTTCCTATTTTGAAAATGTAGTGTTGTTTAAAAAGCTACCTCTTTGAATTGCTGTGATCTTCAGATTGCAGATCATGATGTTGTACATTATGAGATAGTTACATTGTACTTTGGTTCACAGTTGAAATAAACAGGTTGCTGAAGAATATAGATCCTGCTGCCAAAAAATGAAATACATATATAATGTAAAATAAATTTGTACAAGTATTGTGACAGTAGTTTTGAATGAAAGTTATTTGTTTTTCTATTAAAATTAGTTATTGTTGTATTTCAAAATTAATGTTAGGGCATTGTCACAATACACCAGGTTAAAAAGTAGACTTTGATGGAATTGTTGTAGAAGTGCTGGTAAAACAAACAATATTTTAAAGAGGAGAGGGTGCTGCATCTATTTTTCATTTTATTTAAATGAGGCTTTACCACAATAGCTTCTCTTGAATAGATCTGCACATGACTATTTTGTCATGTGCAGATCTATTACAGTACATTTTCTATGAGGATATATTTTGGGGGATAGGGGCACTATCTGGCTCAAAGCAACCGTTTTTAACAAAATCAAGGAATTGCACTATGAAGGTAATATTTTCCTTTTTCAGCAGGTTTTTTTTTATCACCATGAGATTAAGTATTATAATAATTATAGTGCCAGCCCTAGTCAGCATTTGTCTAATGGAAAACCTGAAAGGTAATCCATTCCCTGCCAGGGCCTAAAAAGGGGGGGAAACAGAAAATGTATTTTCCAAATACGATAGACCCAATGTGAGTCATAGGGAATATTCATCAGTATCCATTTACGCTCATTTATACAGCATGTGCATGAAATGCACTCTTTTCAAACTACTTCAATTTTAGGCAACTAAAATGATTCCTATTTCGTAATGATCCCTGAGCGTTGAGACAAATGTACTTTAACAAAATAATAGATAATAGAAAACAACAACAGTTTCATATATTTGGAGAGCGGTGGTGGCACAGAAGAGTGGTGGTAGTGTAGTGGTTAGAAAGCTACTTCTCCTGATTGCCAGCTGCCAGCAATTCAGCACTTCAATTCTCACCGGTTCAAGGTTGACTCAGCTTTCCATTCTTCTGAAGCTGGTAAAATGAGGACCCAGATTGCTGGGGGCAATATGCTGATTCTGTAAACCGCTTAGAGAGGGTTGTGAAGTAGTATATAAGTCATATATTGTTATTGCTATATATGAAAAATAGAACAGAGATCATATGTTCACATCAGAGCTACATTTTAGAGTAGAATTAAAAATTGAAAATGGACTTGCAGTGGATGGAAATGTATTTTGTATGAAAATGTATCGTTAATATTTGCAGATGTCTAAGGATTCTTTAAAAGAATCTTATGTAGTTGCATCATAGGGTAAGACCTATGTAAAAATAATAGGTCTTGTATATAAGATGATTTCTCTGAAATCAGTATCCAGTTATAAAAAAGAAAGTGTACTTGCTGTTATATCAGATACCGTTGAATCTGAAGTTTTTCAGTAGGGGATATTTCTGTTAAAAGTCACCTGGTTATAAAGCTGGCATCTAACAGACAGGAGAAACCTGCCCAGGTAGATTTGTTTATTCTTTTCATGTACGTATTCTTCAAATATCATTTTCTTGGTATTTATTTTGGAGTATCTCTTTGTGATAGAAAAATAAAACAGCTCTGTGGAGGAAAAAAATGTATATAACTTGTATTAAAAGTTTGTGGAGCATATGCATTTCAAAAGTATGTGATGCAAGAAGTCAAAGGAGTACTGATTATAAAAGAGGGTTAGGGTAACCAAGCTGTTTATTTTGCCCTAGTCGTTTTGTGGGTATAAGACGAGTGCTATTAAGGTATATGTGGCTCATAGATTGTAATTTTGATATTTTTGGTGTAGAACTTCAGTATATATTATTATTTCCTTTAATGTACATAATAACATCATCCATCAACTGGCAGATTAAATTATGGGGCTGAATAAACCATTCATAAACATCCACTTGCTTGTTAGAAAAAGATTTATATAACATATTTATTTCATTTCTGCACTAAGACCTTTTCATTCTTTATTTAACAATCAGCATTCTCTGGGTTAGGATATTGTTTTGTTTTGTTTTTGTCTTTTGTAGTAGCATACAAAAGAATTTATATATTTTTTCTTCCTTATTCTAGATTTCAGAAATATTGGTCCAGAGATTAAACCAAAATGCGATTCAGTTTGACTTAAAGCCTGGAGTTAGAATCCTTGTTCATGCTGCTCATTTAACAGCAGGTTGGTGCTGATTCTTTGTCAATTGAGCTAGCATTTCTGGAACAATTAATTGACAATGCTTTGATGATAGAATTGTTAATGTTCAGAATATTTTTCTACTTTTATTTTATTGATATGTATTTGTGATAAAATGCCATACAATACATAGCTATTTAAGTTCTATTACATTTATTGAGACTTAATCACAGTTAATGTTCAGAATATTGCTGAATTAGAGAAGGGAAAATGCTGTAAATGGAAGTAGTCCTCAAGATTCAGCGGTGAGTGATACTTTTACAATAGAGGTATGCTACATACATTTTTAAATTAACTTTCATGGTTTGGTGATTGCCAGCAGTTCTTTCTATTTCTTCATTTAAAAAATAAATAAATCCAGAAACCAAGTCTTGAAAATGTAGCTGAAATTATACATGTATATGGCATTGGCTTTCTAAGTATAGTGCTTTTGTATGTAAGGATAGAAAAGGACATCATACACCATGTTTTAAATCTAAGAAGATGCAATCTATTCAATAATATATATGATTTAATTGAAAAGTGATAGAACAAATGTACTTACAGTGATTAATACCTAAAAAATTAAATAATTTTTATTCCCAGACTGAATTAAAATACCCCATGAATGCCTGTCTACACTGCAAGTAGTATATTCATTTTTGTTTATTACCTTTGGCTATTTTAATACATATGATATAATGTCTAGAAACAGGTTAACCTGAACTGTCACAACTATAACAAATTAAAAAATGGTTTAGTTTTGTTTGATATTAGCATTTCTTGGGCTTCATCTGCAATAGGTACAGTTGGAGAACTGAAGCCACAGGAATCACTAACTTTCTGCTACAGCCAACTTAAATAAAGCATTATTGACTTCTACTCTGAAAAGTTTGTCAGTCTGGGTATCAGATATTAGGATTATAGAAGCATAGAAGTGCCCTAATGCAGAAAGGACAGACAATTAGACTGTTCAATAACAGTGCAAACTTGGTTGGAAAAATGCAAGAACATCAGCGACTGTTTGTTAAAAAAAGGAGTGGACATTCTCCACTGTATGTGTCTATGACTGAATGTACTATTATCTAAGTTTTGAAACTTCTTTTTAACTTTTTATAGCTCCACTCATAGATGTCACGCCTAGCCATAGTGGTTCAGCCATGCTAATGTTGCTGTCTGTAGTATTTGTGGGATTGGCAGTATTTGTAATCTACAAATTCAAAAGGTATGTGAGTTTTTTTCCTGACCTTCCTTCCGTCCGTCTGTCAGGCATGAAAGCACAATTCAAAGAGAGCCATGGCATACACATAGCAATGATGGTTTTTGTTAATGTTTTAGGAAGATTCCGGGCATTAATGTTTATGCACAGATGCAGAATGAGAAAGATCAAGAGATGGTCAGTCCAGGCAGTCAAAATGAAAGCATTCCTAATGTCCCTCAGAGGGAGCTGATGAACCCACAGCACCTAGTAGATGAGAAGTTGGATACCAGCCCATAGGTAAATAAACTAACCCAGCCAATAGCTGGTCAAAATTTGCATTCTGATTGGCTAAATCTATTCTGACTTTTCCAATCTCCTCTGCTAAAACACTCAGTATTCCTACTGATCCAATAACACATCTAAATTTCTCTAAACTAACATAAATATCTTTACCCTGCCTCTTCTAAATAATGAGTCAAAAGGTATGAGGTAAAATTTTATTTTCACTATAATAAATCTCACAATAGTTGCCTAGGACTATGGAATTTTTTTTCTTCTACCATCATACTTAATATTCAAGGAAATGTTTCCCTGTTTTTTGTTCATATTGTGTAGCTACAAAATCATCTATCTATTAACTTTTTATGTTTTATATTTTTATTATATGCCACTCAGTCAGTTATTGAGATGTTATAAATAAACAGATAAACTAGCTGTCATTATGACAATACTAGCTGAACCTATTTTGCATCTTTTACATCTATCACACCTTTTAGGCAACCTCTCACAAACTGAACTGAACACTAAACTGAACACAAAGGGAAACCATTACAATTAATACAACAGCAAAGATATTTTATTCAACTATCTTTGAATAATAAGTTGTGCTTTCTAAATACCTTTGCACAGTCACTGCAATATATCCAATACATATTTTCTCAAACCTGGCAATTTTAAGATGCATGGACTTCAGCTCCCAGAATTCCTCAGCCAGTGTAAGCAGCTCCTGAAGATGGACATAATTTTATTGATTCATGGAATCATGCAAAGAAAAGATAATCTGAGTAATCTAAAGCTAAGTAATTAGGATCTTAGTGATAGTCATAATTTTATATTTCAGCCAGAAATGTATTTACAGCCATGGTAAACCTTAAAAATCAGGTATAATGTAGCTTCTTCAAATAGATCTAAGAGACCAACTATTATTCCAGTGTAAATTAGAATGTCTGAATTTCATATCAAGGCAGCCCTATATTAATGCAGTTTGGATAAACTCTGAGGAAAGCTTTATTGGAGGTGAGTTTGCCAATACACTAATTTCAGATTCTCTGCTGCACATATTAGCATGACTTGGGCCTTTAAAACATAGAACAGAGGGTACCTTGGAGGTCTTCTAGTCCAACCCCCCTGCTCAAGCAGGAGACCCTCTGTTCTTTGAATATAGCCTTTGAATGGATTCTGTCTGATTCCTCCATTTGTATTCCAGTTGTCTACCTTATCATACTATGATCAGCTCACAATATTTGAGTGTAGTATTTTTAGCTTTAGAGGAAACCAAATATCGACCCATGAGGAAAGATAAAGTGTGTGATGCCAATAGAAAAGAAGTATATTTGACCTGATGTCATTTTAAACTCAAAGGTAGATTAAATCAATGGGTACGGCTAATATGTGCATGATTTATGTATTTAATATTTTCACAAATTTGACAAAAACGAACAATAATATTTAAGTAAGCCATGGTGACACAGTGTTAGAATGCAGTATGGTAGGCTAACTCAGCTCACTGCCAGGAATTCAATGTTCAAAGGCTCAAGGTTGACTCAGTCTTCCATCCTTCCAGGATCAGTAAAATGAGGACCCAGATTGTTGGGGGCAATATGCTGATTAAGTAAATGATTTAGAGAGGGCTGTATGAAGCAGTATATAAGTCTAAGTGCTATTGCTATTGCTATATATTGCCAATCAGCAGCATTTTGGAACAGCATAAATTATGCATCCTTCTGGAAATAAATTATTAATTATGATCAAATGCATGAAACTATATTTATTACTGAAGCTGTTTTTGTACTTTAGCTTCATTTCTCTTCCTTCCCTTTCCCTTGCGCATGTGGATTAGTATTCAAGGATTGTACTTTTAATGAATCCAACTGATTCTGGCTGGGATTATTTGTAGGGTTGCCAGATTTCCAAAGACCAATTCTTGTTCACAAGAGGCTATTGGGAGGAAAATCTCCTGGACATCCTGGACACCAACCAGCGAGTGTGACCAGACAGCCAAGGACTGCCCAGGGTCCAGGACCAGACAGTGCATAGACTCTTGCCCTGCTGATAAGCACACTGGTGGTCAGATGTCTGAGGAATGCTCATCAGGCGCAGGTGCGCTGGGTTGCTGACCCACTGATTAGTACACTGGTGGTCAGCTAAAGGGGTGGGGGACTGGAGCAGCTGCCTGTAGGGCACAAGGCCAAAGCAACCATGTTAAAGTACATGGGTAATCTGGAGCCCTTCCAGAGCTGCCAGTCATAAAGTTTGATTATAAATATTGTCCTGGCCAGTGGACAAAGCAGATGGTTTCTATACTGTCCAAGTTCATCATGGATATCTGGCAACCCTATTTGGATTTACCTTGGCTATATCCAAGCCAATAATTACCATAATTCAACTTAAAAGTGTTTTGAAATGTTTGGGCTCAATCAATATGACAGAGAGAAAAGGAGAGAGAGAGGGAGAGAGACACAGAGACAGAGACAGAGACAGAAAGGAAGAAAGAAAAAAGAAAAAAAAATATCGTATTTTAATATAAGATGCGATTTTTGTGCATATATCTGTCTTATTGCTCTAAGAGCCTTTTATGGCTAGTTTATGTGATAATTAAATAAATAAACAGCCTTTCAAGTCTGTAAGCACTCTATATAGAATTTAGTTTTCATGCAGGTTTAGGGAGGGCATAGACAGTATATTTCTTACTTTCTGTAGTGTTCTTCTATGGTTTGGAAATATAGATTTCCAGAAGCATATGTATGGGAATGAAAATTCAGAAACACTTTTAATGTATGAGAGTTGCCAAAGCGTATAATCTATATAACAGAACTATATGTATATGAGTGAAAATATCTCCAAATACATATAATGATTAAAAATTAAAACAAAAGCAGCATGAATTCATAGAACAGAAGATTTTCCCGTGAAAACCATGATGCATCATCAAAGAAAGTAGAGTTCATGGTCAATTCTATGTAGATGTTTTAGACAATCCAAAGATGAGAGTTTTAGGAATGTTTTTTTTTTTTTTTTGCTCAGTTTCAGATCTCTAGTTTTTGAAGAAAGACAAGAACCTCAGCAGACTGTCAGAGCCCTGACATAAATTAAACTATATTTAATTTCAAATGTTATCAAAAGTAAGCAATTTAACTCAAAGGTATCCAACCAGTCCAGTTCCTTCCTTTTGTCATAGGCTGAGCTTTAATTTGACGGGTTGAGACATGCTCATTAGTACAAGAATGAGATGTTATGTTCAACCTTCTAAATGTCAAGCAGCCACTCAAGATGGGCATAATATCTCAGTGAGGAACATTTACATCCAAAGTATCCAAAATCAGGATGCTGGGAAGTTTTCTGTTCCCTCAGTCGCACTTTGTTATTTTGCTAATTTTAATTTATTGTTTTTATCTCTTTTTACTACAGGAAGTATTTCCACAGTTGCTGAGACTCAAAGCACAAAAGAAATTCCTACCTGTATTAATGTTTGAAACAAGGACACCAATCTATCTTTATCCCCTTCCAATTTATTATATATATATATACAGACACACACATATATTGTGTGTGTATAAAATCTCATACAAAAATGAGAGAGAGGAACCATTCACTGCTTTTGGACTTTTGATTCTTTCTGATGACAAAAAAGGTTTTTAGCTTTAAGCCTGTGCATGTGGATATCATTTGGGTAACATATTTGGAATGTACAGGTGCTCTATTTTAGTGGGGTAATAGGAAAATACTACTTCCTCTTAATCCTCTTCCTGTTTCCTTTTCTAATCAATATTTAATTTTTAGATGATCCATACTGATATAGGCCAAGAATGTGCATGGGGTATTTTGGGAGGGAAATTAGGTGAACGTAAACTTGCTGACTTTCAGTATAACTCTTAACGTTTTTAGCACTGAAGGATTATAGATGACTTTGGCACTACAGCCTACATTCCTGAAATACAGAAAAAAATGTAATAGAGTTTTAAAAACATAACTGTTTTATTATTATTTTTTCCTTGTGTTTTTATCTGGTATTTTATGTACTCCCTGAAATAATTTGTCTGGGGTTCTTTTAGTTTTGTTTTTTAACTGCCAAAATCAAAATACTTTATACATAGTTGATTGACACTTTCATTCATGCCTTTGTAGTACAAGAAGAACAACAACAAAAAACCAACTATCCTTATAGATATAAATCTAATAAGAGGCTTTGAATATCAGTTTTAGCTTGTCTTTGCCATTTGATATCGTTAGGTACATGTTTTACCCTTTAATAAAGACATCTAGTTAAGACTGTTCTACTTAGCATTTGTATTAATAATTTCAATCATTTTTGCCAACATCCACTCTATTCAATTTGGAGATAATTATTCATTAGTTGAATGGAAGTAGTTGGAGAAAATATTATTTCCTATAATTTCTACATTGTTGCCTCTTCCCAACTGTGTTGGTGGGTTTTTAAAATGGTTTAAAAAAAACAAAATAAATGAGAGTGATTTGGTACATTGAGTAAATATTATAAATTGGTTCAATCTATGAGCCAACAATCACCAATTTTCAAAAGGCCTTGTTCCAGAGGAATAAATTGCAAGTCCTGTTATCCCTGGACTGTACACAGAAATGATATTTGTGTGACTTCATTATAAACATCCCACAAAATGTAGATAATAGTATAATAGATAATATGTTTGCATAAGATGTAGACATAACAGAAACCTTTAAATCAAGTTTTACTATTTACATGAAATGTTTTCCCCATACTGGGGCTAATTTTACATCTTGTAGCTGGAATATATTGACATAGCACAATATAATTAACTTTTTTAGATAAATGCTAAATATATTACCATATCTATTTAAAAACCATCTACCTTTTTATTTCATTGTTTTTATTGCATTGTGGAATAAAAGAGGTCCAGCTACAAATTCTATAGACCAGACTCAAATACATTATTTTTCTAGACTAAGTCAGTGAAAATGTTCCACTGAGCAGATTTTAGTTCCTCCAAATTTGTAACCAATTGAAAATAATCCTCACTAGGGTGACTCAATGTACATGTTAGCTGTAAACTGAAACTTAATTAATACATTAAAGACATAATCCATATATTGAGAATGACTTTTAATTGCACGCCTGATGATTGAAAGACCTGGCCTATTTTTTTTATTCGCTTGTTGGTTAACCACTGCTGGATTTTTATAACTTTTTGCTTTATGAAAAGTTACAGTAAAGACAGTATCTTCTTATAAATATTGGACTCAGTAGGAGAAATATAATTCCCATGAAACCAGCTCCTGGAGTGCACATGTACTAGTGGGACATGAACATTGTCTTGGAATAGCAACCTCCCCAATATGAACTGAATGGTCTTATCTAGTGGTGTCAAACTTGCAACGTCACGTTACATGTTGCGACATATTGCGACTTTTTTTCCATTGCCAGCAATGGGGTGGGCACAGTTTTGGCATGACGCATCCGGCTCTTGGACCAGCAGTTTGACACCCCTGCTCTTATCTGTCTCTTTGTCAATCTGTTAAAGTAACATCAAATAAAGTAAGAAGTATCAGGGATTATGTAATTCATTGAACATTTAAAGTCTTGAAGGGCTGTTATGCAGTGCTAAAGCATCAATTCCAGTGGTGAGATTCAGCCAGTTCACACCACTTCAGTAGAACTGGTAGCTAATTTTTTGTTGCCCAGGCCCAGAATGGACTTCTGGAAGTGACATCCACACAGGGAACCGGTTGTTCACATATTTGAATCCCACCACTGATCGATTCCATAAACTATTGATTGAGGTATATTACAGAGATGTAAAATACTAGTAAAATATCTACCTCACTTACCTAGGTGAGTAAGCCAGTCCAATGAAACTGTTTTCCAAAGCACTGAAATTTCTAAACATGCATTAGTTTTTGAAAGTCACTAGATATTACTATCACTAGATATTTTAAAACATTTCCAGTGGTATGGTAGTGTTCAGAATGATCATAATTGAGGACTTTATAGTTAAGATTATTAACTATAGTTATTAATTTCTAAATCAATTTAAATAATTAATTTGGTTTATATGTTAGGATTCAAATTCAACAACCAGATATTTAAATACTTATGCTTAAAACTTTTTTAAAAAGTGTTATGAAACTTTGAACTTCAAAATGAATATTAAAATGTGAGTGTATTAATAAGTATGATTATTAATACAATAATTGCTATTTATAATAAAATTAATGAAATTTCATGTATGCAGGAAAAAATGAAAAATGATCCACTGAGATACATTGTTTCAGATTTTTATAATATGACAGGTTTTTTTAACCTTAATTTAAACATCATTTAACTTAGATTACTTCAGATTTATGCCAGTTTTAAAGGTCAAACCTTTAGTTTTAGCCAACGTTGAGGGGGTATGGGGTCGGAAATACAGTGCTAAGATCATCAGACTACTAAGCTGCTGGCATCAGCACTGTTATATGGATATTTATTGCAAATCTTGTAATCATTACATAATGAGAAGCTGTTGCCTGGGCAACAGGCTTTGGTATGGCTCATCTTCCATCAATGGATATTTATAAATATCCTGCTTTACTGGAATTGAAACTGGCAAGATAAGTTTTCCTATATAAGATGCTGGTGTGATTGTTTCGGCACAGTTCTGTTATTAAGGCTGCACTGGTATTCTTATTGTCAGTGGGATTGAGTCAGATAAAACCCAAGTATCCTGATTTAAACTGCTAGTGTACCACAGACTTAATATATAATATACCAATGCACAAAATCCTTTTGGGAAGATGATAAAAAAACAAAGAGCTGGTGTCCTTTGCTGAGTGGCATTTGGTCATATGAATGTTTTGAAAAGCAATTAAGTTCATAACTCAATATTTCTAATAATGAATTTGGACAACCAAATTGGATATTTTTCATGTTATTTCAGCAAGTAGAATTTCTGCTTCCATGAGTCCTGATGTTGTTTTGTTGCCTTATAGATGGGCACATTGGTGCAGGTTTGCAAATACAACTGGCCATACTATAAGGAAAGCTTCAGTGTTATACTAACACTATTTTCAGTTTTAAATTAAGAAATGCACAGGCAAATTTTTGAAGTCCAATTATTTAAATAATAGGTTAATTACTTAAATGTCTCCCCTAGAAATCAAGAAAGCATTTAATTTCAATCTTCAATCTCATTCTTTTTTGAAGTCCATTTTAATGCTAAGGCCCAAATTGGTACATGTGAATATATGAAATATAGAGTGAGGATAATATTTGGCTTATTGTAATGCTAAGAAATTATGGGTGTGATGAATCAGAACAGAATCCGTATTTTTTCATAGAACAAGGACAGAATATTATTCATAGTCTCAAAGCAGAAAAAAGTAGATAACTATAAAATAAGTCATATTGATAAACCTCTAGAATTCTTCTATACCTTTTCCTACCAGATGAGAATTATGTGTATCCATCGGTGTAGCTGTCAGGATATGGGAAAATAATCAAGGATCACTGTACAATAATTCTCACAATTTTAACAGATAGAAGTCCAATATTAGTGGTGTTATTTTTATAGGAAATAAATTTGATTTCTTACGGCATTGAACTATTGCTAATTTTGAAATGAGTTTTTGATGTAATTTTCTCCTCTTGGTTGGATACAATGTAGTGTAATGTATAATTGCTATTGTTTATTGATTTTACAGTCATATTTATTAAACAGATTATGTCTCTAAAGGAAAGTATTGGATTGTCAGTTATTAATTTCTCTCAGAGTGTGAGCACAAAGATTTTTTTAAAATGTAATCTTCATAAAATACTAACAAAATTACAATTGTGTCCTTGTTTATTAGACATAAATCATACAATAGAAACAATTTCATCCCATGCCATCTGACAATATCAAATACATTTGATTACCAAGGTCAACTTTCTGTACAAATTTAACCTGTTGTATGATCCAATTGGATTCAGTTCTAGTGATGACAAATGTTTGATAATTCAGCCTGTCATTTGTAGCTCTACCAAGTACCATCCTATAATCAATATAACTCATCTTTCTCTTCTTTTCTTGACAAAGTTTCCCCTCCCATCCATCCTTCATTTGCATCACATGACCAAAAATGTGAAGATAGTCCAAATGTCTATTAAAATAGTCCAATGACTATTGTTTATTGGGTATAAATTGATTTAACAAAATAACAGAGTTGAAGGGTTCTTGGCGGTCTTCTAGTCCAACCACCTGGTCAAGCAGAAATCCCTATGCCATTTCAGACAAATGGTTGTCCAATCTCTTCTTAAAAATCTTCACAGATGGAGCAGCCGCAACTTCACATCACAATACTCTTATTGTCTAAAGAACTATAATGTAATAGGCAGTTATCTAGCTGTTCTTGATCATTAAAACTGCTGTCATTACTCTTGGCATTTTTATGTATCAGACATATTTTGATATTCTCCTCATCTCCTCACCATTGTTTTAGTCTATTCTAACATGTTGTTGCATTCCTATGCATTTCTGTGTTCAGGTGGTTTATATGTACATCTTAGCCCAAAAATAATATAATTAATTAAGCTTATTAACCATCATGATCACTAGAAAATGTAATTGGCTGGGCAAGCCAGAAAGAGTTAATATTCCATTCAGAATGGAGTCTATCTGGTTCAGCTTAGCTTCTATACTTCCAAATTATCTTTCCAACCACTCTGATCTCTGATTTCACAAAAATGCTCTTCATTATCTTGATTTAAGTTTATATTGCCTCCTTCATTAGGTTAATCTCTTTACTTCTTCAATATACTATTCATTCTTATTTTTGATCCCAAGGAACCAAAACTATCTACCATTTTGATTTTTCACTATTAATAATGATTTTATCTAAGCATAATAGTGGACAGTAACTTTTTCTTAATATTAAATATTAACATTTTAATGAGTTTTTTCTTTTTAAATCTTTTGATTAAATAAGTGGTATTGCCTGTATAGTTAAAGCTGTTAGCAGTTTAGTCTTTTATATTGATTCCAGCTTGATTAATCTTTCCATAATTGTACATTCTCCTGTGATTTCACTAATCTCCTTTAGTCTCTTTCTCTCTTTGTTAATTTTCTTCATTTGACGTGACTTTTCTTATGCTGCTTTTTCATTTTCTTTCTTATTTTGCATATTTTTTGAAAAACGTCTTCAACATTTTTTTCCTCTTTGAAAGTTACAAAAATGTGTTTTCTACCTTAGTTTTCACAGTTTTTTTATTTCTTTCCAATATGCTTCTAGTTTTCTTATATGTAGATTGAATGTATTGAATCAATTCCTTATATTGATTTCTTAAATTTTATTATCAACCTTCTAAGTCAAAATGTTCTTGAATACTTACTATATTTAGATTTCTAAATTGATTCTACATATTTGATATCAATAATTCATGGTTAAAATCTGCACATGTAAGTGTCCAGACTGAGTGGCCTACACTTCTCCAATTTCTGGTTCTTACTGTGCATTCAATATTTATTGATTTCTATTTGTGGATGTTGTATTTAAGTTGTTTGAAGCAGGAACAAAAGTCATGGCCATGTGTAAGGTCATGCCATATGTCTCAGCAATGTAATGATTTGCTCTGCTTCCTTAAAAGCAAGCTCTGGTCTACTGCAGACCTTTCCGGAGCTCCTGTTAGGGAAACAGAGCATGCCTCTTTGTACCTGAGCCACATGGAGTAATCCAGGAAGCAGTTGCCATTTTCAGAGTGCCCATATTTCAATCTGGTCATTCCAAAATGGCAGCCACTTCTTGGTTTGCACCATATAGCCTAAGAAGAAGGCAGCATGTTATGCTTCCTGACAGTGGTCCACAGAATTCACATTAAGGAAGCAGAGCAAGCTGCTCCATTCCTGAATCACAAGGCATAATCACAGCAGCAGCCATCATTTTTAGAGTGCTTACAATTCAATGAGGTTGCCTTGAAAATGGCAGCTGCTTCCAGGATCATGTCATGTGGCCCAAGAAAGGATACCCTGCCCTTCTTTCCTAACCTGAGCTCTAGAGATCTTCAAAAGGTAAGTAAGGAGGAGAGTATGAGATCTGGTGGGGTGGGAAGCAGACCTAAGGCTGCAGGAACTCAAGGGGGAGGAGATGGGGGGGATACATGGGAAGGGGGCTGCTGCATGTGTCCCTATGAACAATCATAAGGGCAAACAACTGCACTGGTACTGCAGTGGCCATAACTTTGGAATTGGATCATGAGTAGGTTTTGGAGATCTGACTTTTGAATAGTTACTAGGAGGCAGGTCATAAGTTAAGGAATACCTGTACTATATCCATAAGGCTAAAAGATACTATCATACTTACAGAATATCCGCCATATGCCATTTTGCACTATAGAATGCTTTATAATGTATTATTCACAAAGCTTTGTTGGTTTAATGTTCTTAAGGAATGTTGCCTCTAAATCTTTCCAGAATATTAGCTGAGGTGCAGAAAGCTAGCTTTCTTTTCTTAGTTGTTAAGGGTTTAAGTGGATTTTTGACAACAGCTTTAGTTTTGAGTCATAAACCATAGACAGAAAGACAGTTATCTCTGAATGTTCACCTTTCTTTGAATGTACACAGAATTATTTTTTTCATTACTTGTATATATCCAACCATTCAAGGCTTACAATAGCAGCACTTGAAGTAATAGCTTGTACAAGGTTTTTTTTTTTTTGTAAGTTATTTCCTTGCCCAAACCCCTTTAATTAATGAGGTACTGTCATTGAATTTCATCATGATAGAAAATAATAATAAGATGAAATAATAACTGAAGTGTGAAATATAGCAAGATTAAAAACCGGAGAAAATGTTGCTTGAACATCTATTTTTAAAAAATAACAAGTGTATTCTTCTACAGCAATCAAAATAGGTTTATGTAACTGCCATGAGCTGCTGTTTTTTTCATTCTCATAACTGCCATTTTTTTCCTTTTTTTCCCTCTGCTGTCAAATGGTTGCTCATATACACAGAAGTGAAAGAGCTGGGGAAAAATACACATCCCTAATATTAAATATACATCTCTAATGTTAAAATATAAACATTATTAAGTATCTATGGATTGCTAGCAGAGATTTCAGAACAGAATATAGAAGCGCGCCACATAACAGTACTTATAAAAAAGAAATAGCCTGAATAATTTGCATATATGAATTATTGAAGAAATGGATACCATATCAATGTCCAACATTTTAGTATATCTGTTGTATAAACCACATTTTTGGAGGGAGCTATATGACATTCTGTATTCTGGAATACTGCTTCCTCCTGGCATTTCTAGAGAAATAATGTGTCAAAACATTTCAAACACTTACGCTTCAGTCTTTCTCTGCATTACTTTTTCAGTACTGATATTTTGGCCTTTTGTCTTATATGTTGAGTCAGAAAAAAACCCTCCCCTAATTTGTATGTATGTGTGTATACACACACACACACACACACCACAAACACACATGCACATATTTTGTGTGCTTGTGGTGGTATGTTCACCCATCTCAAATAAAAAAACCTCTGGATGATTAACAGTATCTTTAAAAAGACAATACTATAAGTAACATATAGAGAAGCCAAGAAAACCAACCAATAACAGCATAACCATGATATGGGCTTTACCACAAGGCCCCAAGCTCTAGAACAAAAAGGGGCGTTGTCTTACCTGAACGCCTTTTCTCAGCATGATGATGGAGAATCCACGGATGGGTTGTCTTAATCTATCTGCTCCAATTGGACTAAGTCTGAAATTGGTAACGCCCCCTCTGTGCCAAGTGCACCCCAGTTTTAGACTAAGGCGATACCCAGACTTTAGTCCGACGCGTCTGAACAAATGGGAACCAGGCCAACTGACCTAATGGGAGGGAGTGGATTCTCCATCATCATGCTGAGAAAAGGCGTTCAGGTAAGACAACGCCCCTTTCTCCAGCATGATTGGATGGAGAACCCACGGATGGGACATACCAAAGCCCTGTGTCCCTAGGGTGGGAAATTAGATTGGGCCTGGGTCCCATCCAATGTTAATGCGTGTTCTAGTACCTTGCGGCCGAATGAAGCCGTAGAGGATGCGTATACATCCATCTTGTAGTGACGGACAAAGGAGGAGGGCGATGCCCATGTTGCTGCCCTACAAACTTCCTCTATGGATGCCTGGGTAGACCAGGCTGCTGTAGTGGCTGCGCCCCTGGTGGAATGGGCCGTGATATGGCTGGGAGCTTGAAGTGACTGAGTCTGGTATGCCAGAGAAATACAAGCTCTAATCCACCTGCCTATAGTGGGCGAGGAAACCTTTTGTCCTAATGACGATGGGTGAAATGACACAAACAGAGCCTCAGTCTTGCGGAAAGATGAGGTTCTCTGTATATAACAATATAAGGCCCTGCGAACATCCAATCTGTTCCACTGAGCCTCTGTGTTATTAGATGGGTTCGGACAGAAGTCCGGCAAAACTATGTCCTGGGACCTATGATATAAGGAGTTAACCTTGGGCACAAAGGAGGGATCTAACCTGAGAGTAACCCTGTCCTTATGGAAAATACACAGGTCCTTTCTTACTGACAGGGCAGCCAGCTCAGAGATCCTTCTGGCTGAAGTTATAGCAACCAGAAATGCCACCTTCATTGATAAATGTTTGAGCAAACAATTGTCAATAGGCTCAAAGGGTGGTGAGACGAGAGCCTGTAGAACCTGATGAAGGTCCCAGGAGGGATATC